TTTTTGACCTTTTGGTCCTGCTATCTTGCACTGACAGGAGTATTCATTCTATCTTATAGCGGCGTTTCCTTTGTTTGTTGTTGTTTGCCTTCTATTTGTCCTTGATACTGTTAAGGTCTTTTACTATCTTTTTACCTTTCGATTGAAATAGTTGTTTTAAGAATTTGGAGAAGGCGCAAAGATTTGAATGTATCTTTGGGTCTCTTCATTCCCTGTTAGATTGTAAAAGGAATAGTGATTTGAAAGCAGAAAAAGAATCTGCAATAAAATCTTTTACTGCTTTCCTTGCTCCCTCCCGAATTTTCTTTTTTGTGAAATATTCATTGTTCTTTTTATCCAAAGAAGCTGATTTTCACAAAATTTTATTATGTGGCAGATCTACTTTTGCTTGAGAACTGGGTATTACGATGAAGCAAGATCTGTTGCTCTGTCATCTCGTGCTTCACACCAGTTTGCTCCTCTGGTAAAGATTTTTGCATATGCATATAATTTTATAGCAAATGCAGCCTTAGTCATACTTCATTTTTCTACAGCTTACGGAGTGGATTAATACTGGGGGTATGGTGCCTGCGGCCATTGCAGCTTCTGCTTCAGAAGAATGTGAAAAAATGTTAAGAATGGTTGATCGTGTGGGCCGAGCTGCATATGACAAGAAAAAGTTGTTATTATATGCTCTAGTATCTGGTTCTCGTAGGCAAATCGACCGCCTACTAAGAGATCTACCAACCCTTTTCAACACTATAGAGGATTTCTTGTGGTTCAAATTGTCAGCTGTAAGAGATTGCCCTGGTGGAGCTGCACCCATTGTTATGAATGAGAGCTTGGTACCATACACATTGGATGATTTGCAGATTTACTTAAATAAATTTGACCCATCATATTATACAAAAAATGGAAAGGACCCCCTTGTGTACCCATATGTTTTGCTTTTAAGCATCCAGTTGATACCAGGTGTGCTATACTTGTTTAAAGAAACTGGAGATGAGGGATATAACATTGATGCTGCCCACATATCAATTGTGCTAGCAGACCATGGGGTCCTTTCTGAAGGTGCTGGTGCTGGACAGAAAATGGGCGTGATGGATGCTTACGCAGAGGCATCAAGCATAATCAGGCAGTATGGATCTGTGTATTTACGTCTTGGTAATCTATCAATGGCATTAGAATATTATGCACAAGCTGCTGCTGCGGTTGGTGGTGGGGAGTTGTCATGGTCTGGAAGAGGTAACGTTGATCAGCAAAGGCAGAGAAATTTGATGCTGAAGCAGCTCCTTACAGAGCTGTTGTTGCGGGATGGTGGGATATATTTATTACTTGGTTCAAGAGGTGCCGGAGAAGAAGGTGAATTGGGTCGATTTTTGACTGAAGCAAAAGCAAGGCAACAATTTCTTCTTGAAGCTGCACACCAATGTCAAGAAGCTGGGTTGTATGAAAAGGTGATATTTCTTTCCTTCCATGCCTTTAATTTGCAAGTTTTGTACGGAGAAGTTGCAAGTAGTACTAAGCCTCCTTCCTGTTTTACTAATTTATGTTTTTATTTAAATTTCTTCCTGTTCCAGTTTAGATGCTGTTTTACTAGTTTCAAATGGAAATTAATTATTACTCGTTATTCAATTCCCTTTTTTTGTCCTTGGTGATGGGTACAACCCTTTTCCATCAGAGTAGGGGCTAGTACTACTTGGGGGTGGATTCTTTTAGCCACAAATTTGGATAATTGATTTTAATCTTAATTCTGCCATCTTCAAATGTTAATAATTTTTTTTTCTGGATATTAGTTTTTCCTTCTTTGATATGCTGTTTCTTTCTTCTCAAAAAAAAAAATATACTGATGCTTTTATTACTTTTGCTCTTTTCTTGATCTTGTGTTCTCCCCCCTCTATTCTGTCCATCCAGTCTATAGAAATTCAGAAACGAATAGGAGCATTCTCGATGGCATTGGATACTATTAACAAGTGTCTCTCTGAAGCAATTTGTGCCCTTTCACGTGGTAGATTGGATGGTGATAGTCGAACTGCTGGCCTCATTCACTCTGGAAATGAGATCTTGGAAATGCACAAATATTTTCCTGACATAAGGTAAGGTCATTTCGATGCTCACATTTTATCTTTATCCTGAACTTCAGCTAGGTTGAATAATGTTTCCGTTTATACTGGTGCTAATTTTGATGGATACTGGTAAAAAAAATTATTCACTTGGAGTTGGTCTGGTCTTCGCTGTTAAACTATTCACATATGTAAACCTAATTTCGATAACCATGTAAATATGAATGAAATAAGCATGTTTTCTCTGGCATACTCATATGGTATGCAGTTATTCATCAATTATTGGAAAAAATACTTTGGGCCCTTTGTTTTTTTTCAGTTATGATTAATTAATTATTTAACTAGTTTAAATTTGGAGTGTTTCTTTCCTTTAGATTGTATAACATCTTCCAGAACATGAAGGCCTCGTTTGATAGAGAGGATTGACTTGGATACGACTATTCACTATATAAAAGGTATTTTAAAGGAAGAAATGAATGAAAAATTCCTTTTTTTTTGTCCAAGTTGAAGGTTACTCTTGAAGAATAGTTGTCCTTTTAATCCTACCATTTTTGTGGGTATTAGTAGAGATATTTCTTCATGAGTAACCTTCAACATGGACAAAACAAGGAATTTGACATCCATTTCTTCCTTTAAAATGCCTAAGATATAGTGAATAGTCCTACCCAAGAACATCCTCTCTATCAAACGAGCCCAAAGTGTATACAAAGGGTTGCGTTTATTTTGTAAAGAATATACATTTGGAAATTGTACTTTTGGATGGATTTTCAACTCATGCCGTACTTACTCTTTTCATATGATTTCTGATAATCTTTCTGTTTATGCAATTTTTCTGACTCGAGAGTCATTTGTGTGTACTGTGCAGTCCTCAAGAGAGGGAAAGTGTTTCTGAGCAGTACATTGTTTTAAGACAACTTGAGGCCGTATTGTCAATCCATAAATTGGCAATAGGAGGCCGTTATGCTGATGCTTTAAGGGAGGTTGCCAGGCTTCAATTTCTTCCATTAGTTCCCGGGACACCAGATGCTACCACCGATGTCTTCCAGAATTTATCTCCGCATGTCCAAGCCTGTGTTCCAGACCTCTTGAAGGTTGCCCTCACTTGTCTGGACAACATGGTGGATTCGGATGGATCGCTTCGTGCCTTGAGGGCTAAGGTATTCTTTCAAAAATAGTTTCGTGTTTATTGCTTTATATATATATGGTTCTCAAAAGACCTTTTTCAGATATCCTTATCCATGCCTGTTTTCCGTTTTGGTAAGATGATTCAGTTCTCCGTTCAATGGTTAAAGTTGAGGCGTAACTTCGGATGCTCATAAAGTTGATGGATTAGAAGCTTGATTTTAGTGATATCATCTTTAGATATGTATCAGTCTGTTTCATAATTAATCGCGTCATTTGGTTTCTGCAGATTGCTAGCTTCATTGCAAATAATTCCAATAGGAACTGGCCTCGTGATTTGTATGAGAGAGTTGCCCGGAGCTTGTGAAGCAGATGAACCACGAGAGATGAAGATGCATGATTGTTTTACCAACTGCAGAAGACAATCTAAAGTAGCAATACTACTTCGATGACTGAGTTAATTCGATTTTAGCGGCTTCCTCTGTTTTGTATTCAACCGGGCAAGCTGAAGTGAGTTGCGATCGGATTTCTTGTGTGTAATTTGAGCACCAAAATTTACCCTCATTCCCATTTTTATAGCGAATGTGTGGAATTTTAGATCTTCTGTAATATGTTAAAGGTGTCGATATGTTTTTGGATAAAAAGTGACACTTAATTTGTAGTGATCTATTTCTGCTTCATCGAAAGGATTTGAATAATTAATCCGAATCTTAATTTTAATCTACTTCGCTTCAGATCACTTTTCTCACAAGTTAAATATTATTCCCCTGGAGCATCTCTATTTGGCTCCCTAAGTAAGTCTCTAAGGGGCCATGTGATAATCATTTCGTTTTCAATTTTTGTTTTCACTCTTTTGACAACTATTTTTAGATTTTTAGTTCTTAGAAAAATGAAAATTGAAAACTTCATGTTTTCAAAATTTGGTCTTGAGTTATCACTTTTTGTTTAAAGTTTTATGTTTTCAAACCTGAAAACTCAAATAGTTATTACACAAAATATTTTATTTTCAAAAAAGTAAAAACTGAGAACCAAAAACGAAAAGTTGAAAAAGAAAATAATTATCAAACAACCCTATTTGGTACCACAATGCATCATAAATTCAACACAAATTAGAAAAAGGGTAGACACACCTCCATTTTCTTGGTCCTGCGGATTGTGGAATTTAATGGATTTGAACGACCAAAATGGATTTTCAATAAGAATATGGTTAGCAAATTGCTTGGTAATAACACTAAAAACCAAATATAGTGTAATAAAACACAATTAGACAAAGGAAAAAAAATCTTAATTGGTTAAGAGTATTAGCTCTTGCACTTGAGGTCCTTGTTCGAATTCCTCTTTCCAAAATATAATATAATTATCCTATCATTTGTAAAAAGAAATAATAATGAAAAGATAGAAATGAGAACTACTAAGACGAAATAAATTTGATGAGGTTTGAGAGGAGTAACCGAATGCAACGGCACATCGAACTTCAACGATATGAACTGTCTATTTTTTTAAGTTGCACCTCATAAATCATTATTGCAAAATATTAGCCAAATCAGAAATATTTGATGCATTTAATTGAGTTCAAAGAAATCGACTAAGACTTTGTTCTAAGAAACTTTGAAATTTTATCGTGACAATTAAATGGACAAACAATTTCATATTAAATTGAATTTTTGCATATATAATCTATAAATCGAAGCTTTCAAAATAAATTGTTCAAACCGCTGAGGTTCGAAGTGAAATTGATCTCACAACTAATCTCATTTTTTCGAAGAAAATGAAATCCCTTCCTTTAAAGGGCATGTATAAGGAGGTATTGGCCAAATGAAAAAGAATTATTAGAAAACAAAAACTTTTTTTGTTCCCCTTTACTTACTCTTCCTCCGCCGCGCCCCCGCTCGCTGTCTTCCTCCACCCCACCTTTTTCAGTCTCTTCCCCAGCCCACCACCCCTCCCCCCGGCTTTATATCCCCTCTTCCGACCCGCGCTTATCTCTTCCTCCCTCACCGCCCCTTTCTCCTCCCTCCCCCCGAAACCCTCTCCCTGTCTTCCATCCATTAACGAGGTAAATTTCTTCATTCAATTTGCCTGCTTCACTCTGATGTGCTTAGTTTTATTGATGCCTCTGTTGCATTTAGTTTGTATTGTTTAGTGTAGTGGGTTATATAGTAGAAACTATTGGGTTCTCTAGCATAAGCTACGACTTTGTTTTGACATTGATATTGCTTAGTTGCGATTACACAAGCATACCACATCGTTTTGAATCTTTTAAGGGTAAGGGCAGCCTTGCAGGGAATTATTGACATACAGTTTCTCTGTATCATTTCAGAAACAAAGGGCTCTAAACTTGGCAAAGTATTAAAAAGAAGCTGCATATGTGTACTTGGTGGGTTTTTGTATTGGTATTCTTGTTTTGATGCTGTTGGGGTGAATGCTACAATTTATAATCCGATTAATTAAGTCATATGGGGCGAGGAACCCTTAAATATTAGTGTCAATAGCTTTTGTGTTTTGAGTATATTACTATTAATAATTTTGCCTTGTAGTACCTCTGCCAAAATTTTAATCAAAGTGTTTGTGATCAATATCTATAAGGGTGCTAATTCCTAAAGTGCTAGAACTGTTATTTGCTCAGAATAACACTTTAAAAACAAACTTCTAGGTTGAAATTTGGTATAATGGAGGTCGTGGACCGGGAGAAGAAGAAGAAGATCAATGACATTGATGAAGAAGAAGATCACTATGCTTCTGCGTCTGCTTCCAAGTCGCAATTCAGGTAATTAATTATCTTTATGAAAAAGTTACTGAATAGTTTATTTATGTATAGTTCTGATGTTGCGCTTTATTTTCAGGAAAGTGATATTGAAGGCTCACTGGAGTGATGAGATGGGCATGGCCGAGGTTGTAGATAAAAAGGGTACAATTTGGAGGACCACGGGAATTGTTCGTAGTGGCAAGCTCTATTTCTTCATTGAGGAAGTTTTGTAAGTGAAAAAACTATATTTTAATTTTAATTGGATTTGAAGTAACTCAATTATAACAATCTTGATTTCCTTCATTTCTGTCTTACTTTCTGCTTCAAGAAGCCTTAGATTTTGAACACGTTGTTTGTAGTTGAATATATGCCTTTCAAAGTCTTGATAGCCCAATAGTTGTCTTATGAAATTGTTCCTTTCACCTAGAAACCTAAACCCTACACGAATTCAATTGATGTTGAGCTTGTAAGACATGTACCACATTACTTGCTTGCCGATAGACAGAAAGGTGGTGATTTCTAAACATGTAAACGGCAATTAGCTTTTGTAAAGGCTTTTGGCAGAGTTCCTAACATACTGTAGACACCTAGGCTGACCTTTATCTAATTTGCCATTTACATGTTTAGCAATCACTGACTTGCTGCCTATTGGCAAGCCAGTGATGTGGTAAACGTTTTCCAAACTCAACATCTGTCATCAACATGATTTAAGTGCGAATTCTGGTAGATTATGAAATTTGTGCATTTGTCCTATTGAAATATGTATTAGCAAATTTTAAGAGTCCTTTAAAGGTTTTTGATTGAAATAGGGGCTTTGCTTCTCATGGATGATGGTGATATCAGCCTTTCCTTGGAAGATATGTATGTGAAGATTTCAAATGGAAAGCATGGGTGCAGTTGGGAGGAATTTCAAGCTTATAGGCAACTCAAATCTCTTGGTTACATTGTTGGGCGGCATGGTATCCCCTGGTCTATGAAGAGTGTGAAGAGTAATCATGAATCTGTTTCTTGTCACGGTTGCCTTGATAGCAATGAGGAGGTGGACTTGGATTTAGAAGAGTCTAGGTCTGTCATTGGATTGTTCAATGATATGCAAATTAATGAATCAAGGCTGGCATTTGATGTTTATCTCCCAAACAGCAAGTTCAGGAAGTCTTCTCCTGGTGACCCAAGTTTTGTGCTCTGCTTTACCAGGTATTCATATTTTTGTAAATCGTAAGTATTTAATGAAGTTTATTCTGTTTGTGATTAGCTGCGATTTTTTTTTTTCTTTCCTCATTCTCTGTACTGTTAAATGTTCCGATCAGTATTTCGTTCCCATGTGATTATATATTTATTCAAATCTCCACTTGCCGCCTTCCGTTTTTCAGAGGTCATCCACCACCCAAAGCAGACCTAGAAGCCCTCGAGAGACGATGCGATAACATTCCCATGAAAGTTTGTCATGTGGAGGAGGGGGGTGTGAGTTTCTTTTCCTTTGACAAAGTGGAACTTCCCATCCTACCTTGATACCAGGATTTGATACTGCTTTATACTACATGAGTCGACGCAACACCAAAAACATATTAGCATCTCTCTTGACTAAAAGCATACTTGTATTTTTCAACTTAGCTACTTAGTATTACGGTTTAGTGGTATTTTTCTTCACTTGTAAGTGAGAGGTTTAGGTTCAATTATTGCCAAAGGTAAATTTGAACTACATTATTACTAATGCATTATAAGGCGAAGCCCATCTCCTCGCTCTTAGAGTAGATAATATCATTTGTTAGAAAGAAAAAAAAAAGTAATAATAATTTGCTCGCTCAACATAGCCTTATTCATATGCCCCCTGAAAAAACAAGAGAGGCTCTTTTGATATGTTGGTGGGTTTTCCAACTGTTTATTTATATTAAAGGAAATTTAGTTTAGGTCCGTAATAATTTTATATTTTGGCATATCATTGTTTAGATCAACTGATTCTTCAACTAAGGTCAATTACGATTCCCTTAAAAATTTCTCTTCATCGAGGGCCCCTAACTCTTATTTTACTGATTTGGTGCCTCGCAAGGAGGTTTTGTCTGTACAAGTCGGAGCAAAGCAGTCTGCGCATTCTTTCAATTGAAACCTAGGGTTTGCTTGTGTTTGAAAACTAGGGTTGGACGACGACGCAACCTGAGAATTCTGTTGCCAGTGGAGTTGTGGAACGGCTGTTGTGGGGTTGATAGGAGATATGGGGCACTCGGTTACTGACGGGGTCGTGGAGGAATTGGGGCAGTTGTTGGGAACCAAACTTCTTCTTACTGATAAGGAGAAGACGGGTGTGATCATTGGAAGGAAAGAGGTGGAAGGGGCGCTGTTAGGGTTTCATAACGTTTTTTTGGCAGAGGTGTTAACTGAGAAAACTGTGAACGCGGAGGCCTTCATTGATAGGTTCACATCGTTATGGCGAGGTAAGGAAGGGGTCTCTATTCGGGTTTTAGGTGATCAGCGGTTTTTGATCAGATTTGTTGCTAAATGGGATATGCTGCGGGTTTTGGAATCCCCTTGGACATTTCGAGAGGACTTTGTAATGGTGGGGGACTGTATGAACAGGCGGGATGAACAGTGGAAGGAGCTGTCCATGGGTGAAATGTGGGTGCAGATTCATAATGTGCCACCATTGAGTATGATGGTTGCGGTTGCTACGACAATAGGGGGAAAAATTGGAATGGTGATTAATGTAGACAAATCTTCGAGTCGAGAATGTATTGGAAGGTTTTTAAGGGTTCGTATTCTTATGAATTTACGGGAACCATTGATGCGAGGGATGGTGGTTACGTTTTCGGATGAAGGACGGATTTGGGTTCAATTCTGATATGAAGGACTGTCGAAGTATGTTTTTATTGTGGAAAGATGGGGCATGCGAGTAGGGTTTGTAGGGAACTGTTGCGTGGGGTGCAAGGCGTGGAGAATGGGGAGGGATCATCGGTGAACTGTATGTCTCTTCCATATGAGGGCTTGAAGGCTAGTAAGGATTTATGGGGGAATGTGTTGCGGATGTCTTTGCGGATGATGAGGAGCCCAAGTTGGGGGGAGGGAAGTGGGATAGTAGAGGAGGTCGGTAGGGAGGGAGACATGTTCCATGAGGGGATGCAGGGGGTTGTGCTTACAGGGAGTGAGGGTGGGACAATGGATTGCGAGAGTGGACTGGGTGGAGGTATTAAGGAGGATGAGGGGAATGGAAGTCAGGGGGGGAATACGGATTCAGGGTTCTTCCGAGGAGGAGGCTAGAAGAGCGAGGGAGAGAGCCTTTGATGCAGGATTAATTAGCAAGGGCGGGATAGTTGCACTGGGTGTGGAGAACGTGTTTTTAGTTGACTTTGTTAAACCGGGGATGACAAGGGGTGTAGCTATGGAAGGGAACCGACGAGGTATACAGGTGGATCTGAACGTTCCTGTGAACATGGATGATGAAGGAAGTTTCGCTGTGGTGCAGCAAATTAGGGGTATGAAAGAGGTGCAGCAGGTGGGGGACGAAGTGCAGGAGGTGATGGTGGATGGTGAAGGGTACCACGAGACTCAAGACTCGGATCCATTTCAGTTGGGCCTTATCATTAAGGCTATTAGTCGAGATAGTAGGCGAAGGAAGAGGCGAATTGAGGAAATGGATGAGGTGATTGATGGGACGACTAGGGAAGTTTCCAGTATCGGAAACAAGTGAGCTCTTGTTTTTTCTGAGGCGAAGGAGACCAGCCGTGAAGGGTCTCCACGGTCGTCATGAAAACATTATGTTGGAACTGTCAAGGAATTGGGGTTTCCTTGACAGTTGATGGCTTGGTGTAGCAGGTGAGGCTCCACAACCCCGGCGTAATGATTTTACTTGAGACAAAAAATAAAAGTGATCGCTATAGGTATTTACTTAAATTGTTACGAATGGATTTTATGCAACCGGTGGAACCAAAAGGAATTGGTGGAGGTTTGTGTGTGTTTTGGAAAGAGGGGGTGGACATTTCTAGTATTGTGTGGACTAGTTTTTATATTGACTTGGGTGTGGGAAGTGACCCGCTTCGGTCGGATTGGAAGTTGATAGCGGTATATGCAAGTAGACCCGGCAGTTTCTGACACGACACGATAACACGACACGAAAACGACACGAAAATAACGGGTTTCGGGTCAACACGATAACTTATCGGGTCATTATCGGGTGACCCGTTAAGAACCCGTTAATAACGGGTTGTTAACGGGTATACACGCGGGTAACACGTGGGTAACCTGTTTCGACCCGTTAAGAAAAAAATGATTTTGATCATTTTAAAGTTTAATTACTAAAAGATTTATTATAAAATACAATAGCCCTATTAATATATTATATGTACAATATATTCTATATTAAATATATAGTTTTGTATTATTATTCTATATAAGTTAAAAAAAACAAAAATTTTGTCATTATTTATTTTTATTATGAGAGTTCCTTATTAATTATTATCAATACTAGGATATCATATGGGAGCTCTCCTTCCTTGAAGGAGGAAATTCTGACCCATAGCCCATAGGTTGTCAAGCAAAGGCCAAAGGGTTAGGACTTAGGAGTCATGCTGCTTCATTTGATTTTATAAAACCATGCACATTTGATTTTAGGGAGAGAGAGAGAGAGAGAGAGAGTCCAACTTATAAAATCAAATATGCTTCCCTAAAACTAAAAGGCTTAAAGCCTTAAACCATGCTACCAAAAGGTCCGTGAGCCAGGCCCACCTCAATAGTTAATACCCTTGAAAAGTTTAGGATAATAAATTTTATTTAATATGTTGTTGTCCAAAATTAAAATAAACTAAGAAGACATACATACAAGTATGAAAAATGTCAAAGAATATATAAACACTTGTGATTCATCATTATTCCTCTACCAGTATATAATGGTTACACTTAAATTATCGTTTAGATTTTTAAAATCCTCCAAATCCTCATAAATAATGTTTTTTATTTGAGGGAAAAATTAATAAAGTTCATAATAATTATTGTAGAAGTGTAAAAAATGTGAAAAAAATATACAATCACTCATAATGACAAGCTTTACAACTTTCATGAAGGGGTCAGCTTCGAAATCCAACACTATAATCCATAAACCTTAAATTTATATTTAACCGTTGATTGTCATTTACGCCTTATTCTTGTTACTGAATTTCATTTTTTTAATTTTCTTTTTGAAAACATGATCATCTGGCGGATGTAAGAAGATGAGCGGTTTAGATCTTTAATATCATGTTTCGATATTTACGGTTAATTGAAATATGAGTCGATGTCATATAGTTTGTAGAAACTTTATAAACATCAAACAATATTTTCACTAACCATAAAACTCTGAACATAATATCAACGATCCAAACCGTTCATCTTTTGGCATCCTCTAATAGATCATGTTTTCAAAAAAAAAAAATCTGAAAAAACAAAATTTGATGAGAAAAATGAAGCGTAAATGTAAACAACAATCAACGGTTAAATTTTAATCTATGATTTATATGATTATAGTGGCGAATTTCAAAGTTAAGCTCTTCACGAAAGTTGTAAAGCTTGTTATTACGAGCGTTTATATATTTTTTCTATATTTTTTATACTTCTACATTAATTAAAAAACTATTAAAGACTTCAAACAAAAAATAAATAAATAAATAAAAGCCACTAACAAAGCCAGCCCACTGACTTTGAGAGCCCAGGGCCCAGGCTGTCAGCCCACTGCCCAAATGCAAATGCCCAGCAGCCCTAAATAATAAATCTAATCCCTTTATCTAGTGACCCAAATCCTCATAAATAATGTTTTTTATTTGAGGGAAAAATTAATAAAGTTAATAATAATTATTGTATAAGTGTAAAAAATGTAAAAAAAATATACAATCACTCATAATGACAAGCTTTACAACTTTCATGAAGAGGTCAGCTTCGAAATCCAACACTATAATCCATAAACCTTAAATTTATATTTAACCGTTGATTGTCATTTACGCCTTATTCTTGTTACTGAATTTCATTTTTTAAATTTTCTTTTTTGAAAACATGATCATCTGGCGGATGTAAGAAGATGAACGGTTTAGATCTTTAATATCATGTTTCGATATTTACGGTTAATTGAAATATGAGTCGATGTCATATAGTTTGTAGAAACTTTATAAACATCAAACAATATTTTCACTAACCATAAAACTCTGAACATAATATCAACGATCCAAACCGTTCATCTTTTGGCATCCTCTAATAGATCATGTTTTAAAAAAAAAATCTGAAAAAACAAAATTTGATGAGAAAAATGAAGCGTAAATGTAAACAACAATCAACGGTTAAATTTTAATCTATGATTTATATGATTATAGTGGCGAATTTCAAAGTTAAGCTCTTCACGAAAGTTGTAAAGCTTGTTATTACGAGCGTTTATATATTTTTTCTATATTTTTTATACTTCTACATTAATTAAAAAACTATTAAAGACTTCAAACAAAAAAAAAATAAAAATAAATAAAAGCCACTAACAAAGCCAGCCCACTGACTTTGAGAGCCCAGGGCCCAGGCTGCCAGCCCACTGCCCAAATGCAAATGCCCAGCAGCCCTAAATAATAAATATAATCCCTTTCTTTCTCTAGTCTCTCTCTATATGGCCCAATTTTGGAATGGGGTCCAACGACCGTTTAGGGTTATTAGTTTGGGCGTGCAACTACAACCTTTTTTTCACGCAAAAAAGTATTATGTTTT